AAAACATGTCTACATAATCAATTTCCAGGTAATATAATTTCAAAGATGAGTAGTGTCAGGCCTTACACAGGTAGTGAGAATAGCAATAAATGGAACGGAAAATGGAAACATGCAGGTTTTAGGGGGATTTGTTGGTACTAGCAAACACTTCTCACAGATTACGACTTGGATACCAGAGCACTTTCATCTAATCCGACTGATTTCTTTTCTCTGGGACGCAAGACAATGATAGATAAGATGTAACATATGACAGAGGGAGCATTCCAGCTGTAAAGCAGGATATGACTTTGATTATCCACAGGTTATGATGGATGCTGCAGTGAATGCCCAGTGTGAAACCAAATGGTGCTGAGGACAATGATTGTTTGAAGAGAAAATGTAAAAAAATCAGAAGATTAATCTGCACACCCACACTAAATCCAGTACCAATGCTATACCCAAACTTTAGAGGAAATTATAGATCAATTAAGCTCCAGTTCCTGTTGTCTGGACATCCTAACCACACATTTCTTTAAGAAAGTCCTGCCTGTCATTGCTAATGATGTGATCCAAATAGTAAACTCATCGCTTTCATCAGGTGTTTTACCCCAGGCTTTAAAAATATCAGTTATCAAACCACTGCAAAAAAGATCAACCTTGACAAATCACTACTGCAGAATTTCAGTAGTGATCTACTGCACAGGGAGATCTCCAACTTCCCATTCATCAGCAGAATCATTGAAAAAGCTGTTTAAGCAGTTAAATAGCTTCCTAACTGTAACCAACCACTTTGACTCCTTCCAGTCTGGTTTGCAGTCTCACCACAGCACGGAGACTGGCCTCGTAAAAGTGTTCAGTGACGTCCACATAAACACGGACTGTGTAAGAACCACAGTGTTGGTTCTGCTGGACCTCAGTGCAGCTTTTGATACTGTTGATCTTGTGGGACTGAATCAACTGGAGAGTTGGGTCGGACTCTCCCTCTCCAGTTCAGTACTCAACTGATCTTACATAAAGAACACGGATTTCTTTGTTTCAATAGGAAACTTCTCATCGAAGCAGACAGAAGTAATATGTGGGAAACACCAAGGTTCGATCCTAAAACCTCTCTTATTTAATATCTATATGCTCCTCTAGGTCAGGTTATAACTAGAAAAAAGATTAGCTATCATAACTACGTGGATGATACACAGCTCTACATTACAATGTCATCAAGGGACTAATGTCTCAGCAAAATCTAGAGAAACTCATCCATGTGTTTATGTTTAGTCGCATTGATTACTCCAACAGTGTCTTCACAGGTCGACCTAAAAAAATCAATCGCCCAGTTGTAGCTGATCCAGGACGCTGCTGCTCAAGTTCTCACTAAAGTAAGGAAGTTAGAGCACATAACACCTGTCCTAAAGTCCCTACACTGACTCCCTGTAGCTCAGAGAATAGACTTTAAAATCCTGTTGTTAGTTTCTAAATCACTGAACGGTTCAGCACCACAATACATTAAATATCTGCTGTTGTTGTATCAACCTTCCAGACCTCTCAGGTCTTCTGGTTCTGCTCTGCATCCAGAACCAGAACCAAACATGGAGAAGCAGCATTCAGCTTCTATGCACTACAAATCTGGAACAAACTTCCAGAAAACTGCAGAACAGCCGAAACACTGAGTTCCGATAAATCTAGACCAAAAACCCAGCTGTTTAGAGCTGTTTTCAAAACCTAGTCATGAAACATTAATCAGTAATCTGATGTGCAAGATGTAAAGTTGTTGTCTGCGTGTTCCATGACTTTGTATTTCTGTATTTTTATGATGCAGAGTACTTTGTTGCTGAAAGGTGCTATGCAAATAAAATTTTATTTGATTTTGATTTGATCCTCTTCAGGACTTAATGAATCCATTTATATTATTTTATTTCATTGCTTTTTATGTCTGTTCTGCACTCTTTATGGAATTGCATCGATATGTCATGTAACAGGCAGATCTAGAGCCAGAGAGCATTTAAATCCAAAGTGATATACTGTTTTAGAATATTAGTTTCACAGTTTGCAGTACTGTGTCAGCATAATCAGGGCTGGGAAGTATTTCTGACATATGCATAACTGAATCATGCATTGTAAATGTTTGCTGGCAGTAGACCATCAAGCTTTGTGTTGTAATAATAACCTGTCTTGGATCACACCCACAGCTTGAACTGTGTGATTCTCTGAAACAATGTTAATGATGTAGGCTGTGTTACATGGTACTGGTTTGACTTGGCCCATTAGAAGTCTGCCTGCTTGTTGCTGGCAGCTGGGCTGGATAAAGCAGCGGTGCAGCAGCTCCTGGCAGGATCTTCTGTTGGTACTTGAAAATCAAACCTGAACTTTGTTTTTCGTCTGCCCTGCTATTATTCACAGACCATTTTCTTGAATTTTTGGTGACAGATTTGTTTTGATACAGTGTTCACGTACAGCATGGAGATCTTTCTGCATCACACACAATACCAGTAAACACTGGTGAAGGACAAGTGTGAACAAAAAAGCTGGAAAAAACACAAATAGTCCTACTCTGAGTTCATTATTGTTCTTTGTGCTATTGTTTTATAAATTATGGAAAATAGTTAACCATTTATATGCAAATTATTATAAATTCATTTTAAAAATGACAAAAACATTTAATAATTCAGTGTAGCATTTTTTTGTTGATTATGGGCAGCATATGATGTGAGACTGATTGATCTTAAAGCCAAGATGAACCAGTTTAGTCACCTAGCAGTTGATATAAATTGCATCTTAAACTTTAGAGTCACATTCAGACTTAACAGTAGTCAAGCAGTTAAGTTAACCTCTGTTAAGACACACTGCAGGAGTTTGAGTTCCAAAGGTTTCCATAGTGTTACGGAGAAGCAATTTGAATTTTAAAATCCCAGTGAGACAAAGTATGCCAAACATGATGAATTATTCAATAGAATGCCATATGGAGATGCAAACAATATCTCAGTAATTCACCTGAGTGAACAACAGCACTGCAGGAGGAAATATCTCAACATAATCTACAGGATTAATTTTTGCTAAAACTCAGAAACAGTGAAGGCCAAAGCTGTTTTTCTTGCAACTGTCTGTATTTGAAGACCCTATTGAAGAGTCAGAAGAGGTTTGATACACCAGAGTCACTTTATCTGCTCAACTAAACACAGTTTTTCTGTTAATCAAAGTAAATAAGTTACTGATGAGGAGGCAATCAGCAAGGTTTCCTTGAATAGATGCTACGTTTTGTGCTTTGTTTCTGCCATCAAAAGTCAAAACTAAATTTAGAAAATGTAAGATTGATTCCATAATACTAGTCACTGAAGTAGCTGTTTACTCCCAACTCCGCACATTTGTCTTATCCATGTGTGGCAGCATGGCCTGTAGGCTCTGAACGCACCACACACAGTGGCTGAATCTAATTGGTCGCCGCTGGTTGTTGGTATATAAAGGGGCCTCTTTCACCTGGTTGACATCACGTTGTTTTCCTTCCGGATCAGACCTTGGCGTTCACCTGTTCGCTGCATACTAGTGCTCGTTAAAATGGTGCGCTTAACGACGCTCTAATCGCTGATCGATCATCCTTGTGATAAGAAGCTTCCCACACTCAATGTTAGCATAGCTTTAGCTCAGCTTTACTTGTATATCCAGGCGGCCTGTACAAGCTACCCGACTCCCTTTCCTGTCAGAGGCACTACATATAGAGCTCAGTGGTAAGTGAAATGCTCATCTTTTTTATGCTTCCAGATTCCATTTCTGACATTTATTTTTGATGGACGCAGATGTTTGTCCTTGGCCGGCTGTTTTCCGGTTGTCCTGTCCTGCTTGTCCCTGGCTGCCTACCTGTCGTCTTGGTTGTTGGCTTCATGTCCGCTGTCCTGGTCGGTAAAGCTGGCTCCCATCACTCGGCCAGTGTGGCTGATTTGGGCTGGTTGGTGACCAGCTCGGACTAAACCTTCTAGTGCCGCTCAGAGTGACGTCTGCTGAGGCTTGGCGGTTCGTCCCAGGACGGACAATTAATTGGAATGTTGCTTCTTGATTTGTTATGGACTGAACTGTATAATTGTATTTGTAATTTAAATGTCGTTTCTTTCTATTTTATTGACAGAATCGGCCAGCTCGTGGTGTTGGTGGTGGACTTCCCGGGTGGTGGTACTACTTCTGGGTTTGGTGCACGATTTCTTTTATTCTTGCTATTTTGTTTGATGCGTTTCTTTTTTCTTTAAGGTTACTATCCTGATTTGCGCTGCCATCTGAGTTGAGCTACAACTCTCTTTTTAATGTGCGAGTTGTTTTAAATTAATATTGATTAAAACAATTGTGCGGTAAATAAAATTATTGAATTGTGAGAGTGTCTCTAGCCTAACTTTAAGTGGAGTCATTGCAAACAATTATCTTTATTAAAATAGTGGTTTTAAATTTAAGTTGCCGATTTAGATCTCGCTGGTCCCGCCACATATGCGCACACCCAGATATCTGTGACGTATAACTTTGGTAACCATGGGAACATTGTACCTGTGAAATACAATTAAACCATCGTGTATGTTAATGATCTACATTGAAACTGTGACATTAGCTGCTTTTATTTTGTAAAGGATGAGACTGATGCATAAGCAAACTTGCGTCTTCATTCAGGTTATCGGTTCATTCTATCCACACCCTCATGTACAGAATATCTGAAAATAAAAACACAAACACTGAGCTGCATCACTTCCCTGACTCTTCTCGTTCCTCAGCTCTAGGTTAACCGAGCACACCCAGTCTTTCACCTACAACTGTTTCTCCATCGTTTTAAACTAGAAGCCATAAAACACAGAATTTTTACTTGATGTGAAAAATTGCAATTTTCTAGTTTCCAGCTGGAAAAATACAATAGAATGTAAATTGAGCAAAATAACTTGGTTAAACCTGAAATATTAACAAGGCCATTTCTTGCCTAACAATGGACAATTTCATCCATCCATGAGGAGAGAAGACTAATATTTTATACCAACAGAAGCAACATAAGATCATCTATAACTTAAATACACTGGAGACTGAACTCAAACCTTTGTACTTGTTAGCTAAAAATGCCTAAGAATACTTTTGAAGTCCAATTCTCTCCAACTACCTTCTGGCTCCTCATCTGCTTCCTGCTGAATATTTCACTCTAACTACTGAAGGCAGGCTGTGTCTCTGCCTCTGGAGGAGGACAGAAATGTCATTCTTTTCTTTCCCCCAAATGTTTCACACAATAACTCTGGCTTGGCGTGGTTCTAGGATGTCCAAAAAACTGGCACAACGATGAAAACTTGTATGGAAAATAACATTGACAGAGTTCATTCTTAAAAAGAGCTCAACTGGGATTTTGTCATGCATGCAATGTTCTCAGTAAAACTGTGAAGTGAGCAAAGAACTGAGAGATTCTGTGTATTGAGCATTTTCTGAGAGAACTTTGAAAAACAAAAAATAGGAAAAGCCTATTCATATTCTTTAAAGGCAAACTCCCAAGATAAAATAACATCAGACAAAGCAATGCAACATGGCATACAACTAATTTAAATAAGATGCATTCTTTGACAGTGTAGGAGTGGGTTGACTTGGTTTGGACTGAAGACTGTATGACGATGAAATTTATAGATGTTGGTCTGATATCAGTTTGTATCGTCCTCTCTGTTGATCAGATGTTAGACTTCTGTCAGTACAAGAATTTTCTACAGAAGAAAATATCAGGGTTTTTTGGGGGGGGAGTTTCTTTGCTGTAGCGATGTCTTAGCAAAATGCCACATTTGTAAGGAAAATGTGTTGGAGTTGAGTATGTGAGTTGCACCTTGGAAAAAACTTGTCAAAACTTCACTACCGATGTCAAACACCATTTGGTGTAGGCAGTGTCATGGAGCAACTCGGCAATGGGTTGACAAGGATTGTGATCTAAAGGCAGAAAAACTTACGAGTTTGCATTTTGATCTGGGAGCTTTTTCCTTTGGATGAAAGGAGCGCCAGCCTGAGAGGAGGCTGTAAGGCAGGGGTGTCCAAAGACGGTCCTCGAGGGCCGGCGTCCTGCATGTTTTAGTTCTCTCCCTGGTGGTAGTAACAACCTTTTCAGAAGGTCAATGTTCCTCTTGGGCCTTCTAATGAGCCGTCATTTGATCCAGGTGCATTAAACCAGGGAGAGAACTAAAACATGCAGGAATGTAAGGGAATGTTGGAGGGGGGGGACAGGCGTCTTCACTAAAGGTCCTCATCTGTCCAGTGGTGATTGTCTTCAGAAGGACAACGCTGCAGTTCAGCCTGAGTGCAGCGCTCCCCACAGTGACCTTTCACTAACGACTGCACCCACCTGCTGTGTACATCTGTACCCACAACGGTAAGTCATCAAGAACATCAATAAGATCCAACAATAACATTTGTGCTTCTCACTTTTGGGTCCTTTTTGTAAACTACTACTTCTGGTTTTGTTTCTGGTTTATGCTCTCAAACTTTTAACAACCTGTGTGTTTAAACGTCATGGTCAATAAATTTCCCAATCTATCGCTTGTCTCTCACTCCTGTTTTTCCCATCACAAGCTGGTTACAAAACGGCAGCATGAAATTTGGACACCTGTAAGACCAGGTCTTCAGTGTGTGAGAAAACACCACTGAACACATGGGCAAACCTGCATTAACAATGTGAAAAACAGGATATTACCATCTTTTCATAACCATATTCCAAACATATTTACACACTGTGTGCAAGCATAAGTAATCTGTGTTTGTGATTTGTGAATCACACCAGATCCCAAAGCATATTAGAAACCTTCAAGTCTTTCCCACCCCTCCCCCGTCTGGCTCTCTGTCCCTCTACACACAAAAAAGCCTTTAGAGGAGCTCGGTGTCTAATGTACAACCAAGAATCAATCCACAGCAGCCACAGATGAAAACATTAATTATTTTTAAAGAAATATGAGATGACTAAAGTAGCATGGTTCAGCCAAGCTTGTGCCTTATTACTGTCCAGCAGGACAGAGGAGAACATGGGATGATTTTATTTCTAATGACGAATGTGCAGGTATCCAAGCAACGAATCAATGCATATTCAGTCTGTGAACAAACTGACCTGTTCCAGCTGAAAATGAAAGCTCTGTGATTATCATACAGAACATGCTGTCAAGCTGTATTTCTGTGTGAGTGCTTTTGGGTGTGAGCTGTGAGCACTGGCAGCCATGCTGCTATTTATATCTGACATTGGCAGAGTTGAGTGAGGACACTGAGTTGCATAAGGACAGACTGTAGAAGACGGACTGTAGAACAGACTGCAATGGGAAAGCTGCTGTAGGATTCATTGTTTAGCTTCTATTCAGCACTGCAAGGCAAATAATAAATATATATATGTATATGAACTGAAGAAAATATTAAATATTATTCAGCCATTAAAAACAAGAAATAAACCAAAAGACCAATAGTGAAAACATAAACATGTAAAAAATAAAAAAATAAAAAGTCAAAAATACAACTTTTATTTGCATCTGTCAGATTTTTCACAGTATGTCTACTGGAGCTAGATACCATGAACAGGATCATTTTGTGAAATCAAGCACCTTGTTTTCAGACAACAGGTAAAAATAACCCGTCCTGATAAAATGATTCAGGGTCTATTATCATTTACCATGATTTTAATTCTGTCACCAAGTTCCAAATATTAAACAATTAACATTCTAACAGGGAGAATTTAATCTATGTTGAATTGTCAAGCAGTGGCTACATTGGCAGAACAAAAATGGAATTGCGCAACATAATACAATGCTAGAATCATCCACAATCTATTTACATGATGACTTATGAGTTGTCACTCTTTCTGACATCCATATTCTAATTTTAACATGTTCAGCTTATTCAGTGTCTAGGCACAGAAGCTTTTCATTAGAAGTGCTTAAACTCCAGCAGATAACAGCTGCAGTCTATGGGGGTGATGTAGGGAACAACATCCAGACATTCAGTCTCAGAAGTCATTGGTAGCCACTTAACCTCCGACCCTTTTCTTTTTAATCTTTAGCAGTTCGCTTTGTTGTGACAAGCAGCAAGTAATTCTCCACAGGGACTCATAGGTCTGCTCAGTCTGCGTGGCTCTTTAATTTCCTAATGAGTTACATGTCCTGCTAAACTCATCGCTGGAACACGGGTTGATATACCCAGAAACCCAGTATCCTCTCAATGTTGGAGCCAAGTAAATCCAGTGTATTATGTTGAAAACAAAATTGCATCATACAGTGGTAAATGTTCCACATTAACACACCAGTTTTCATCTGTATTCCATAAAATGTCAATTTAGTCCCACTTTATGTAAGTTTTTTCCTCTACATGCAGCCAGGAGGTTCAGCACGACTGAACACATAAAACAAACCATCAGAGAACCAAATTTTACAACCCTCAAAATAAAAATGCTGGCCGTACTATATTACAGAATCACCCAGGGAAACGGTTTATTCATAAAACATGTTACACATTTCCCTTCAGTGTTTGTTTCAACACTCTGAACCAGTAGAATGTGTTTGTTTGGACTTCAGTTGAATAAAATTGAACATAATTCAAACCAAGACTTCACTAATCCTGACGGGAAATTAGATGTCAGAGTTTCTACATTTCTTCAAAGCGTCCTTGTCGCGGATCTAAAGAAACATTTGACTAAAAGCACACTGTTGGATTACTGTGCTTTGAAGGATGCATAGACGCTCATTTTGTCTTTAAGCACAACTCCTCCAACAGACGGTAAATGGACTGAACATAAATAGCTTTGTCAGTCATGTTCCGCCGGCTCTTACTGTCTTGTTCTAAAAAACCTGACACCTGCAAAGTTATCGGAGAGTATTCATGTGTTTCTGCTGGTAACCGGACTCTGACTTGTGCTGAAAGGAAATTGTGAAAGTATTAGTAACATGCATTACTGCAGAACATCTCAGAGACAGGAGGGAAAAATCTTCATGGTGAGGGCAACATGATGGACTTAACACTGAAGGAGATTTTTCAAATTTACCAAAATTCATGGCACAACCATAATCCTGTGTGAACACGCTCTCAGTAACAGAATTGCACTAAGATTTCATAGAGGGTTATCTATGAATTTCATCACCTGCTGCTGCTCTCATGTTTTTTGGCATTAATGTTATGCTAAAGTATTTCTACTGTAAAACCTAAAGTTGTATTCTGCATATACAAGCAGAACATGATTATTATTTTTTGAAGTAATCCAGTCTGGTATCATGGACGTTGTGTGCTGTAGCCATTGTGTTTTCTATGCAGTTTAATCCCTGGATCAATAACTGAAGCCTCTCTTTTACTCTTCACAGTGGCCTCAATCTGTCGTATGGCATCATGTCAACGTCTGCTTGCA